CAGGAGCTTTGCATTTTGTGGCAATCCGGCTGGCAAACCGTTTTTTGCTTAGAAAACATCTATGCTAAACAAATGTGCAAAATTGGCTCGGATCCAGGAAAGCAAAGGGAACTCCAAATCCTGTGAATAAAGCCCCAGTCCTATTGTCCCATTTTTTCAGTAAAACTCTGGAAGCTAGGCAGAAGATTTACAAAATGAAGTATAATCACAATTAAACTGGAACTAAGGTCACTGTTAGTTTTGCATCGCACCCGACTAAATGCGAACAGCACTACCCTGTAGTGTGAGTGCACTTTGCAATGCCTCATGGGAAGAATGGTTCCCTGATCCCTTTGCGCGTACTGATACGTATGTGCACACAATCACTACTGTTCATGGTGCGGTACTATGCGCATGTCCATCAAGGAAGTTTTGGGGGTTTTTTGCCTCACAAAAATATAACAGCAGGTTTAACTGAAGAGGTGAGAAACACAACCAGTTTTGTGTCTGTGAACCAGTTTTGGTAGCAGTGAGGATACTGAGGAATTGTTAGTAGCTATTGTCAGATTGAGAAGATACTCCTCAGACATTAGCGCTGTGCCACATTGGCCAACCATGCACAAAGAAGCGCTGCGCCACATTGGCCAACCATGCACAAAGAAGCGCTGCGCCACATTGGCCAACCATGCACAAAGAATTATATGCTCTGCTGCTGTAAACAAGTCCAAGTTGGGAATGCATGAAAATTTTACACAATGGAATGTTGAAAGGAAAACCACTATTTCCGTGAGGGCACAGAGGAGAAAGTCCAACGTGAACACGGCTTCAGATTTCGCTACCTTGGTCATCGTGCCAGATCTTCAATCTTCTCAGTGCTTCATATGAAAGGATATAGTTAACTGACAGTCTTTAGACACGCACTTTTGTGAATGGGCAGAATATATCAGCAAGTTATCCGCCCCGAGCTGAAGTGCACCCCCAATCGGCGAAAGAAAGACAGGTGGTTACGAGCGGGTTCTTGCACGTATTCTGTGTGTACGCCAAGACCATACATGCCGGAATAAATTAGTTACGCGCATGCAGAAACGCGCATATGCTTACGCGCCTCATGGCCAAAACAACACGCCCTCGTTTGTTCTGCTCGGAGCGAATTACCTGATGAACTGTGTTTGCACTTTGTTGTTTTGAAGGACATTCGCTGTGATTCCCCTCCACTTATCTTGGGCTCTGAGGAGGAGAAAACACCACAGATACAAATGTAGAGGTTAGGCCAATAAGCCAACTTAAAGCATACACCAAGAAGAAGTGTGAGAGATTTGTGTCAACAATTTAAAAGATGAACTCAACGCTGATCTACCCCTGGCCATCGAGTTGGCCATGTTAATTCCAAAGCCAGGTTAGCTTTTCATTTGGGGAACTTGACAGTAGAAATGAGAGCAATGAAACAGAAATTTAATACAAATTAATACCAGTCTTTACAGATAAATAACTCAAAATCTGTGATTAATCTTGATGATCAGAGTAACATTATGAAAAAAGATTGAAAGTGAAGACTGGAACTAAAATAGTCTGGCACCATCCAATTGAACAGATTAATTTGAATGAAAAAGGCTTTCCCATGAATAAGGTCAGGCTTGTTACGTGATCCCCAACATGGCCGCTGTTTATTCAGCTGGCTATCCTCAGATATTCTATGTTCTATAAAAAGAATAACCAACCCACGTAGGGAAATACTGACCAAGTGTCAAACAACGATCCAGTAAAAGATAAAAATATGACAGCAGGGGACCACATGTCAAGTGATTTCCATAGCAAACAGATAATTTCGGATGTAAAAGTGCATTGTAATTTAATGAAAAGAAGACAACCTTTTCCAGGTGTCAAAGGTCTAAGCTTGTGGACAGATCATCACATCATGATTACACACGAGGTCTTACCTTTGGATAATGTGTCTGGTCCAAGACATTCAAGTGCCCATGTACCACTGGCACATGATACCTGGCCTATGCTGAACTCAATGATGTGGGAATCATGGACCTGGTGGAACAGGAAGACATACTCTAAACACTCTCTAATTGTACTTTAGCAAGAAAGTCCCTCACTCATGCCAACAAATCCTGAAAAAAGAGTTCCCACCTGAATAAATTCCTCTATATCAGTAATGAAGAAACAGTGTTTGTCATCGAGTGTCCGCCAATTTACGTTTAGAGCCAGGTTGTAATGCCACCAAAAAGTGTGACCTTGTGATAGGTGGATGGGACGGTGAGCAATCAATTACCAGTGGAATGGTGCTTCTGTCTTTTGCAGAGAAGCTGAGCTGGGTATCGGTAGAATTCAGCAACACGTAATTGATGAACCACCAATCGGACAGTGGGGATTTACTCAGGTGCTGCTTGAAAGATATCGCCATTACCTGATTCATGTTGTCAATGTCCAGACTGATGATCAGGCTGGTGCCTTTGGCCTTGGTGTCCCGACTCTCCCCACTGTGAGCACGGCACACCGATGAGGTCAGGGATATGGAGTTGCTGGTGTGAATGGTGGCCGTGTGATGCAAGGTCCTGTGTCTGAATGGAAAAGAATGGAGAGAAACGCTGCAGTGGAAATTTCACACTTAAGTTATAGATACGGTGGGTATGGTTAAGAAAATTGAAATGGTTAAATATTTGAATATTTGCCCTTCTTTTCAATCAATTATTCAGTCAAATTAACTTCCAACGACAGCAGGCACAAAAACACGTATGTTTGTGTGATGGTCTACGTGTACCTCAATGAGTTCAAGCCACGGGTGTGCCCACTAATTAACCCTCCTTTGGTTTTACAGCACAAATATGCACAAGTGCCCACGGTCACTCTCTTGCATGTGTTTTCTATATGGAACCCAAACATGCCCAGGTTCAGTGTGTACACAGTT